CCCCCCCCCCACGAGGCCCCACGCCACCAACATTCTTCTTAATTTAAAGATTTCGTTGAAGACGTCTGAATGTGTGTGTGACGTGTTTGGTGGTGTGCACTTTGTTTAACATGTTGATATTTAAAGAATCACCTCATGACTGGAATGATGTGGTTTGGGTATCATGTGTTTCTTTGGGGGTGAGGGGGGGGGGGTTTGCCTGGGGCCCCTGAGGTCCCTTTAAAAAGCAGATTTCAGAAGGTTTAATTCTGTACATATACAACAACTATTCACTAAACAGTTAAATTAAAACTTGATAATCAAAAGTTGCTCATAAGGTTTTAATATTTTGGTCCCGTTTGCTTGTTATTGTATTAATAAACTAATTTATACACTAAACAAGCCCATTTTGTTCCCTTGTTAAGAGAAGAACTTTCCAAGATACAAGTGTCATACAGCTTAACAGTATAATATAATAATCAGTCAAACGAGTACTTTTACTTTAAGACTACAGTTAACTAGCCTGTATCTGATGGTGTCAGGTGTGGTTTCATTTAGATATTTCTCCCTCCTGAATAATATCAGGAAATAAAATCAGTCAGACAAATATGAACTCCCCTGCTTTAAAAACATATTAGAGTTTGTTTCTGTTCTCACAAAATAATGTTTTCAGTTCAGAAATCAGACTGTGACAGTAAGTGAATGACAGTGGTCAGTGCTCTGCACACTGACATTCATTCAGCTCAGACCTGTGACCTGCACCCAAGACTTAAAAAGGACAAACTCTGATTATAGCCTTTAGTGTCTGGAGGTGGCCCCGCCTGGCCCCCCCTTGGCAGCGCCACTGCACCGAGGCTCATTACTCTGAAGGTCGACAAGTGACTGTGCTGCTCTGAAGTTTTTCTAATCACCCACACTTAGATCTGATCTTTATAAAACCATGATGAATGAATGTTTATGTTCCTGTGTGAACTTCTGTCTTCAGGAGTGTGTGTGAGTGTGTGTGTGTGAGTGTGTGTCCATCTGTCCATCTGCTTCACACAAACAGTATTTAGTTATTAATAGATGATGCCAGATCATGTCTCCGGATCTTTGGCCCTGATGTCCTGACTGTGCACGTCACGTCTCTGTGTAAGAGGTCTGACCCCAACCACAACTTACATCTTGGAATTAAGTTTTTAACCTAATTTAAACCTTATAATAAACACACACACACACACACACACACACACACACACACACACACACACACACACACACACTTTCGGTGGTGCGTTCACGTTCGCCATTCTGAGGAAAACAGGCAATTTGGTCCCAGTGACCCTTTATCCCAGTCAGATCTGTCATCGGTGAGTTTAACAACGACTCTATTGTTCAACCAGAGCTGCTGCTGCTCCTCCAACAAACTACCGGACCTCCTCCTCCTCCTCCTCCTCCACACACACTCACACGCTGAAACTGTTGGATGCAAATTGACGCACGCGTGGATGAAGTTGCTTCCCCCCTCAACACTCCGGTGTGTGGAGGCTGTTCCCGCAGACTCAAGTGCAGTTTGTGGTGGAATATTAACTTTAAAGTTCTCGTTAAGAGGATAAAGGATCGAGGGTTTCACTCTGGTGTCTCCAGAGAGCGGAGCTGAGCGGAGTGGGACGGACTTGTGGTGTAATCCAGCAGCAGTGAAGAGCCACAGTCTCATCAGCACAGAAAGAACCATGGCCAAGGTAAATACACACAGGAGGGTTTCTGGAGAGTGTTGTGAGTCCTTTTGTCTGATTGTGTTGTTGGAAAGTTGTGTTGTTGGAAAGTTGCATGAAAAAAGAAACCTGGCTGGATTTTACGCGTGGCCGCTGCGCTTCAGTTGTGGTGAGATGATGCAACAGGCGCATCATCTCCAGAAGGAAAATCCTTTAACATAAAGAGGCTAGGGACGTGAGAGAGGAATCTCTCTGTGCATTCAGATCCAAGACACAGCAAGAAACAGACTCTAACATGTGTGCACACACTCTTTTTCTGCACTTTGGTTAATCTTTGCACAAGTTTAACACAGACTCCAGGGTCCATTCGGAGCTGTGGCCAATCATGTATCTCCATATTTCCTATTTTACTTTGTGGATTTCCTGATCTGTTTACCTTCGTTGGAGGGATCAGTTTTTACTTTGACAGATGATAAAAATATATATTAGTGCAGATTGAAACATTTTAGAAAATGGTGCGCACGTTTTAAAAGTGTAAGAATATTCAGATGAAAAGGTTTTAATCTGTTCATAAATTGACTTTCTACTGCAACAGATGATCGTTTTCATTCAATCTGAATTTATTTATTATGTTTTTGATTAACTGAATAATTGATAACCTGAGATTTTGGAGAACAGCAAATCCCTTTAATCCTAAACTCATATCTTCATGTTTCAAGTTTATAAAGATATAAGTTTTTCTAGTAAATACTGCTATGGAATATTTTTTATCACTGTAGTTGAGCATGATCTTATCTGATGCTTTAAATTTGTCCAACTATTACATCTGGACAATAATTAACTTGTGTATTATAAGGAAGTGTGTATTTGCTGCATGTCTCCTGTTCAGTGTTAGAACATTGATCCACTCTCGGTTAGAGACGCTGGAACTATTGATGGAATGTGCAGGTTTTTTGTTGACAGTAAATTCAGAGTCGCTGTTGAATCAATGTTAAAAAACTGAGATCACTGTCACACACATCCTTTGTTTTTCAGAAACTATGTGGGACCAACTACCCGACCAGCATCTGCTTCATAGTGGTGAATGAGTTCTGTGAACGCTTCTCCTACTATGGCATGAAAGGTACTGTATGTGAAATTCACGTGGGGGGAGGAGATGGACATAAACTGCAGGAGTCCGTATTCACAGAGCAGCTTCAGGGTCTTTGAACACAACCGTTGAAAGACTCTGATGTAAAGTTGTTGTGATGCTCAGATTGTTCAGATGTGTGAGTCAGCGAGGTGATGAACCGACGACTTCTCACATGACCTCATTCACTGTAACATGTCCGTCACAGCGCTTTAAACCATTTACACACACACACACACACACACACACACACACACACACACACACACACACACACGTAAACATGGCATGAAAAACAGCCAACATCCTGTTCAGCTGTTTAAATAAACACATGACCTCAGTGTCATACAACATAAATTAAGATATATAGAAAAAAATAACCGTCCCTATAAATGTATCTGCTTATATTTGACTCTATATAAGTAATTATAAAGTAAAATAGAGCATCCAGCAGTGAAACTCTCTTTTGAAAAATTGTTGTGTTCTTTAATTATCAGTTAATTGGTTAATTGTCTGTTAATAGTCAGATAATTGTGAAAATGCCCGTCAGTTGTTTTTTCAGACACATTTAAATGACAGTGAAATGACTTCACCCTCAAGTCCTCTTGTTTTGTGGAAGCTCCGTCTCCCACAGTGGGTCCCAGCTGACGTTTGTGTGTCTGTCCACAGCCGTGCTGACGCTCTACTTCCTCACCTACCTCCACTGGGACAAAGACCTCTCCACCGCAGTCTACCACGCCTTCAGCAGCCTCTGCTACTTCACCCCCATCCTGGGAGCGCTCATCGCCGACTCCTGGCTCGGAAAATTCAAGTGAGTCCACCGAAACCCTTCATCATCCACTTTCCCTTCATTTGAGAAGTTCTGAGATATTTCTGTCATCCCAGTACAATGGAGGTGATGATGTTTCAGCAACACTTTGTCTAAAGTGTGTGACACCAGATTAGTGGAGATGAATCATCCTGACCGCACACACACACACCACACACATATACACACACACCACACACACACCACACACATATACACACACACCACACATATACACACACACCACACATATACACACACACCACACATATACACACAGATCTTGTGTGATAACAAAAGCTCTGAATGTCCATAATCACAGTTTGCTCCCAACAGGACCATCATCTACCTCTCCGTCGTCTATGTGATCGGTCATGTGGTCAAGTCGGTCGGAGCCATTCCCACTGTGGGAAACAGCAACGTGCACATGTGAGTAACCTCGAGCTGAGTCCGTCATTTTGAGCTGCGTCTCTCATAGGTCTCCTTTTTTCACTTTCACTTTTTCACTTCAAATAATTTGTTTGGTCTAACAATGAGAAATGCTCATCTCAGGTTCTGATCACGATGAACGGCTCAAACACCAAAGATTTTCAATTTGCAGCAGAATAAAACATGAAAAAAGCAACAAATCTCCTCGTCTGTGTTTGTGGAACCAAACAATTATTTATTATATCAGAAATACTTCATTGATCCCAGAGGGAACTTGTGTCTGCGTTTATACAAATGAATGATCATCAAACTGAATGTGCATCAGGAATTTCCACATCCTGCAGTAGCTCTGTGTTTGTGTTGCAGTGCTCTGTCCATGGTCGGTCTGATACTCATCGCCTTCGGCACCGGGGGAATCAAACCCTGCGTGGCAGCATTTGGAGGCGACCAGTTTGACGAGGAGCACGTGAGTCACTTTGTCTTTTTAGTGTGAAGCGATGAAAGCAGTGTGGCTTGTGTTCATCACACTCATCAACAAACTTTAACCTTTAACTAACATATTACATAAAAGATATTATTTCGTTTTTGCAAACACACGAGTCGTGTAAACAATAGAAGTCGTCACTGTGCGTCAGTCGGCTGGTTTTTCTGCCCTCTAGTGGTCAAAATAGATGAATGAACCTTGAATCGGTGTCTGAGTAGAAAAAGTCTTCATATAACTTTTTGAACCTGTTCTGAAATGTCACACCGTTGTTCTTTTTGTGCTGATGATTGTGTTGATCGCCTGCAGGTCAGCGAGAGACAGAAATTCTTCTCCATCTTCTACATGTCGATCAACGCTGGAAGCCTCCTGTCGACTGTGATCACACCCATACTGAGAGGTGAGCGCTGGTGAGAGGAACCGGCTGCCGTCCACAGTTTGACCGTTTGGATGCCGTTAATGCTGGATTTGCTCCTGCAGGGGATGTGCAGTGTTTCGGTGGCGACTGCTACGCTCTGGCCTTCGGGGTTCCTGCAGCTCTGATGGTCGTGGCTTTAGGTGAGTGTTCGACCGACTGCTGCGACCAATCGAGTGTCGTCAGCGTAGAGGAGGAGGTTTAACACTCAGCCTGGCCGAGAGAGTCAGTCCACACTTTGGTCAAATAAGATTCGGTGAACCCCTAAGTATTTCTCGAGTGATTTGACGAGTGAGATGCGTCAACCTCTATTGGACGGCCATGACATGTGGTTCACGTTTCCCTCAGGTTGAGTTGTTATCACTCTGGAGATGATCTGACCTTTCATCTCGCACCATCATCTGATCTTTTTATTGAATTTTATTTGTCCTTAACTTTGGTTTATGACCAAGTAGCTGTAAAACTACCTGGATTTCCTGCTAAGCATCAGTGTGACAGTGCAACATCATCGTTCAGAGCATGTGAGTTTACAGATGCTGAAAGTTTGCTCAACTGTGCTTTAGTATCGAGCTGCAAACACAAACAGAAAATGTTTTGGGGGAAGATTTCTCAAATTAGGTCAATCTGGATAATATAACATTCTTAAACAGGATTTTTTACTTTTAAATATTTAAGGGGACCATTAAAAAGAGAGCAAGTAACTATAAATATATGAGATAAGAAGGTAGGAACACAATTTGAATTCTAGTGGAAATAACATCCGTATAAATTATAATTAGACACCAGTTATACTGAAGCTGCTCAGTGATCCAAGACTAATGATGCTGAATGAACACGAGCTGTTTGGAAGTAAAATCTAAATCTGGCACAACAGAAAACTTTTTATCTCTTAAAAAAACCATAAATGCATTTATCTGTACGCATTCAGGAAATACATAAAGATTTCAAGCTGCAATTTGAATATTTGAATCATAAAACCATTTAAACTGAGCATCACATTTCAGGATCTCAGCTTGTCTCAGGCTGAGATCATGTTTGCTCAGTGTGAAGTCCAGTCTGGGCTTCCTGTTGATCGGGGCTGGGCCACAAACGTCCTGACGTTCAGTTGTCTCTGTCTGAGAATACCCGTCACCGCTGATCCATGTGTGCTTCACGCTCGGCTGAAGGCTCCCAGTGAAAACAAACAGTGCTTGTAGCTCTGCAGAGGCCCTGAATGCATCACAGCGAGGGCGAGACAAAGTGGGGGCTTCAGTCGGAGGCCTGAAGGGTTGTGTTTACAACAAGTGAAGTGTTTATTACCCTGAAACATTTCAGAGTAAGAGAGCAAAAAAACCAACATATCCTTAAAAGTAAAAGTCTGAACCTCATCTTAATTTGTGGGTTTATTATTACTGGCTGACATGAAGCTAAAAGAGCTTTCATTTCTTTGCGTTTTCACCTCCAACATAAACTGGTTTCTTCACTCGTCTGGCTCCGATCTGACTCTCCATCCATCCTGGGCAGTTGTTTTCATTGCTGGCAGCGGGCTGTACAAGAGGAATCCTCCCCAGGGAAACATCCTGTTGGAAGTCTGCAATTGCATTGGAGTGAGTCATCTCCCACTTTCCCTCCGCTTATATCAATATACAATTTATTCTCTTCGCTGTCAAGAATCATTGTGCTGCATTATAGCCACGAAGCCCCTGTCCACATCACCATTTTTATTTCCGTTATTTCATTTTGGTCCACAGTTTGCCATCAAGAGCCGCTGGAGGAGCTCAAAGTACGAACCCAAGAGGAATCACTGGCTGGACTGGGCTGAGGAGAAGTACTCGGTAAGAGAAGGGCGACTGTTAATAACTTCTCTCTCCAGGAGAAGATTTACATCTGCCCGTGCATCAGTAATCCCTCCACACTGTGGCTCTCTGTGTTCACAGAAGCGTCTGATCCAGGAGATTAAGATGGTGCTGCGGGTGTTGGTGCTTTACATCCCGCTGCCCATGTTCTGGGCTCTGTTCGATCAGCAGGTATGTGCAGAAAAACCACGTATGAACATCAGTCGCAACAGCAGTTTGACTGGTTAATGTGTCCAAGATGAAGTGAAGAGATCCACGATGGCCTGTTGGTTTTTATCCAGGCTGAAATATCTCAGCAACTTTTGGATGAACTATACTGTGAAATGTGCACATGATAAGGAAGAGCTGAGAAAAAGGATCAGGTGTGACGGTCATATCAATAATTTTGATTTGTGAGAGATGGACTCAAAGTTAACCTCAAAGCCACGTTCAGCTTCCTCAAATGTCCCTCCCTTCACCCTCACTGTCAGACCTTTGTCTTTCTTGGAAATGTTTGTCAGCTCCTCATTATTGTCCTTTCCACAAAAAACTGTCTGTCGTCCGTCACAGTCGGTTTTGTTCTTGTTTTTTTTTACTGCAGGGTTCCCGCTGGACGCTTCAAGCCACGAGGATGAACATGGCTGTTGTAAGAGAATTAACACTCGTTGTCAAAATAAAATAATAATCAGATAACGTCTTTTATTATTGCACAAACCCAGTGGGTGGGTAGTGACATCCGTTCGATTGCACAAGATGTCAGCTGTAAAACAGTTCCTCCCTTTGTACGGGAATCAGTTTATCCCAGTACATTTCATCGTTTATGGCCTTAAAAAAAAAGAGAACAGGTTTAATCATTGCTCATCAGATTTATAAAGTTAAAGTTTTAAGTATCTGTGTTGTGAAAGCAATAATCCTGTTGTTTTTTTTTATTTCAGGGAGGTTCCTTCGTTATCAAGCCGGACCAAATGCAGGTTTGTGCCTCTGCTCTCACTGGGGATGTAGCTTGTGTTCAATTTCTCAAATTCTCCATAAACCATAATATTAAAATTTACCAATATGACAGAATTATACAATTATAAATCATATCCCCTCTCGTCTAATATAGTTTTCACCATATTCTGTGTCGTGGAAGCTTAATGACGAGATATAAAGTTCATTCTGGATTTTTGGAAAAAATTTGTTTTCAATCATATTATATGAAAAATAATTTAATATCAAAAATATAACCAAAGTGCAGACTGAGCTTGAACATAAAGAATGACAGTATGTCAGTAGTTTATTTTATTTTTGCGTCTGTTGCGTGTTGGAAACGACTTCAACCCATCCACTCGCTCTCAGTTAATCCAGCGGAGAGAGAGCAGCTTAGTAACAGCCTACAACTGATTTACACTTCAAATGAAAACCTGCCGTACATCCAGAAACATTTCATGGTGGTGGCATGAAATGTTTTTTCTGCCTCTTTCTGAAAACGTGTGTACGTCTCATTTAACACAATAAATCTGACTGATGTTTGAGTGAAAACACTTTTACTGCTGTTTATCTCCACGATCTTTCCTTCTGGCGAATTACGATCTGTCCTTATCCTTGTGTAACTCCAACCTTTATGCTTTTACGAGTCTTTTACAGACTCAATTAAAGTGTGTTTTCCTCCTCCCTGCTGTGTAGATGATGAACGCTCTGCTGATTCTTCTCTTTGTGCCCATCTTTGACCTCATCATCTATCCGCTCATCCGCCTCTGCAGAATCCACCTCACGTGAGTCGACGCTTGTTGTTGTGGATCCTCTCGTCTTTATTAAAAAGCCTCTTCAACGAGCAAAATGAGCCGAGTGACCTTTCTTTATTACCCAAGGACACATGGTTTAATATGTAGAATAAATGATCACACCTCATCATTTATTTCCCAGGAATAGAAACTAAAACCGCATTCAAAAGTACAAATGTGGATTTTCATGTGCAAATAGCATCGAGCTCGGGTTGATACGTTTCTGACAGATGTGGAAATGGCTCAGATTTATGAAGTGATTTAAAACAGTCAGCACACACTGGGCCTGGAGTCATGGAGGATGTGTAACTGTCTGTCACCGACTCTCTCTGCCTTCAGGCCTCTAAAGAAAATGGCTGCAGGGATGGTTTTTGCAGCGCTGGCCTTCGGAGCGGCCACACTGGTGGAGGTGAACGTTGTGGTGCGTATGGGCAGCAGTCACACACTGTAATGCCTCTGATATAATATAACACAAAAAGCGAACCATAAAACATGGTATATAAGTTTTTGTCTTATAATAATAACAAGGTATTTCTATAACACTAATTATAAGACTTTGTTCTCTGGTATTTATCAATGTGGTGCATTTGTTTCCTTCTCCGTCTGATAGAAAACCGTGGTGGATCCTGCACCTTCAGGGAAATGTCTGGTGCAGGCCTTAAACCTGGCAGGAGGTGATGTCGTGGTGGATTTTCCTGGCAGCGACCTGTTTAAAGAGCCGATCCCATACCTGCAGGTTTTTACACTTATTTTAGATTATTTCAACAAACCATATTCTGGGGTTTTATCTGGGTTTTCGGTGTCAGGATGGACAGACTCTGAATTTACCAGAGGTCTGAGTGTGTTTGCTCGGTGAGAGGGAGCTGACCTGAGCGCTGAGAGGATTTATGACTCGTTCCCTCAGTGATAATTTGCTGCGTTCAACCACTGGGGTCAAACATTTGTTTTGCAGGAGTGTGTCCTTACTGAGACATCAGCAGCAAGAAGACATGTGTCAGATAAAACACAAAGAAACACATGAAGTCCACATGTTATTCCACAGATTGTTATAAATTAGATTTTTGTATTACACATAAAATATGAAGAGAATAAACAGGGATCAGCTCAAATCTAAAAAGATCTGAAGGATAAAATTATCATTTTTGCCATTTTAGAAAATATGTACTGTGATGTTTCTGATTCTGTTTTACAAATTTTGCATCTTCAAAAACTGGTGTTGATGAATGTTAAAAACTAGAATCTACATCCTCCAGTTCTCAGTGATGAATTTAATTTCCTTGCTTCATTGTAAAGAACCCGAACATGCGATCTCTTTGTGTCAGGACCCTCCTCAATATGAAACACTTCCACTGGGGTCGTCCAGCAAAGAACTGGCGGTTCAAGTCACTTTGAATGGAGAAACCTCGGTGTGTAACCAGACGTTTGAACAGCAGAAGACCTACACTCTCATCATCTACTCCCAAACTGCAGGAATCCAGTGCAAACTTGTGAGTGCACTGAAGGAAAACCTGCGAGAACTGGGTTTGATATCAGAAACCTTTATAATCGACACGTGTGTTTATTTATCACCCAGGTGAATGACTCCATTAAGAAAAATGAAGATGGGAATCCCTTTCTGAGGTGAACTTTGTTTAATCTTCATTTCTATTCTTACCTTGTTAAAATAAACATTTTATCACAGCTCAGTTTACCAACCTTGTTCTATCGGTTCTTAAAATTCGAATTCAACAGGTTTCTCAACACGCAGCCAGAAGCGATGAACCTAACTGTTGGAGACGTGACTTTCCACGTGGCGCCCGGTTACAGCATCACTCCGAACGAGACTGTGGAGCGGGGAGAGTGAGTTCATCTGCTCTAAATCTGCAGGAAGTGCTAAAATCCAGAAGCCGCCGCTCGTCTCACTGATGTTTAACCAGCTTCTGTAAATCAGTTCCACCTCACAGAGAAGATTTCTGCCATTGGCCCTTTTCAAAACAAAAAGAAATATCTCAAGAATGCATGGAGGGAGTTTACACGTATCTGGAACCAGTGTTGAGTTGAACTCATAGATGAGCAGATTAGAATTTGGTGGTCAAAGCTCCTGAGCTCCTAATCCAAATGTTTTGTCTTGTGAATGCAACATCTCAGGAACACCTCCAGGGAACCGTTGACATGTGCTGCAGTGTTTGCACATAGGATCACGCAGCTGAACGGAATTTGAACTGGTTTTTGGTTTTGTGAACATGATTCATCAGGAACACTTCCGGGGGATTTATTTTCAAATTTGGCACAAACATTCAGTTGGACTCAAGGATGAAGTGATTCAATCTGAGTGGTCAGAGGTCAAAGGTTAAGCTCATCATGGCCTCAGAAAACAAGTTTTTGACCGTTTGAACATGAAATATCAAATATTGACCATACAATCATGAGGGGGGGTGATTTTAATTGCTTTTTCTTATTATTAATATTATTATTAATACCTTATGCTTTTCTATTTTTCTATCTCATCCTTCTTGCACCTCTGTCCTGCCTCTGTGTAGATACCCATATGTCAGCTGCAGCCTCCAGTCAGAGAGGTGCTCTGAGTTTGACCTGGGCCTCCTGGACTTCGGAGCTTCCTACACCGTCATTCTCACTGAGGTCAGGATAGAAAACAGCATCTTTATAAACAAAGATTTTAAAAGTTGTCCAAACTCACACCACCATCTCCGTGTGCTTTGTCAGGAATCAGGTAAAATCGTGGCCCACAGGGTGGAGGACGTGAGAGCCAACAACGTGAACATTGCCTGGCAGATCCCCCAGTATGTGCTCATAACAGCTGGAGAGGTCATGTTCTCCATTACTGGCCTGGAGTTCTCCTACTCACAGGTCTGTCATTAAACTCACTGACGTTAAATAAGGTGATGACCCTGTAGACTTTAGATTTCAGCCCGGTGAGCTGCTCTGTCGGTAGAAGCGATCAAACCGCTGAATAAGCTGATAATTCATCCAACTCATTAACCGAACGAGGTTCCTTCTTGTCTTTACTAACCGTGGGTCTCTCCTCCCTTCAGGCTCCTGCCAACATGAAGTCAGTCCTCCAGGCCGGCTGGCTGCTCACCGTGGCGTTTGGGAACGTGATAGTGCTGATTGTGGCCGAGGGTGCGGGACTGGAACAGGTAAGTCTTCAGGAGGTATTTCAGGTAACATCAAAACTCCTTAAGAAAGATAAGGAGTGTAAACAACTTGTGTATGGAACATTTTCTGGGGTTTAATATGAATTATTGTTGGAAATACTTTATTATAAAAAGACTAATTTCTCTGTGGGGGTTATTTTCTGTGTCATTCAATTCTATAAAACACCTTTTCATTCCATTAGTGGAAGGAGTTCCTGCTGTTTGCCGGCCTGCTGTTGGGCGTCTGCATCATCTTCTCCATCATGTCCCACTTCTACACCTACGTTGACCCTGATCAGGTGGAGAAGTTGTACCTGGACGATTCAGGGAAGGAGGGAGACGACGACGATGACAAGATGAAGCAAAAATCAAATGACATACACCTGAACAAGACGGGGAAGACCACCAAATTATAATCGTGCCACATAACAAAGGTGAAGTATTTCAGATTTAGACAAGCAGCCGTCGTGAGGTTGTAAGTTTCTTTCAGTTTCAAATTTTCTTTCTTTTATATTCATGTACTATTGTTAAAATGATGCACTAAGAACTTTTCTTGTGTTTTAAAAGTTAAATATTTGTCATTTAATATATTTTGTGAAAACATTAACACTCCACCAGTGTTTAAAAGAGGCAGTGTGTGGTTTCTCACACCATGATCAATCGTGTTTTACAGATCAGTGTCAGATGTTATATGCTGTATATATTCGTTGCAAACTAACACTAATGTCTAAATGTTGTAATTTCTGTGTCGTAAAATAATGATCACAACTTTTTACTGTGTTTGACAGAACACGTTGGAGAAATGGTGAAGTTTACATTGTGAACCTACAACAGCGATAATAAAGAACCATAGTAACTAGTGGTTTTGCATGGTACAAGCCAATAATGACAAATTCAGCGTATGGAACATCACTGCAGAAGTTAAACACAGAATCTATTGAAAAACTACGTTTCACAAGAAATCTTAGTTGATCCCTCTGAGTTGACATGAAACCAGGTATTACCTCTAGCATTTCAAAAAGCACAGGTGTAAATATTCAAATGAATGACGGCTGAATGTGTCAAGGTTCGAATGGAGGGTGACGTGAGACGGGGAGGACCAAAACGCAGAAGCTAAATAAGGTTTAACAAAAAGTGTATTTTATTTAACAGGGGTAAACTTAACAAAAGAAATCTCCAAGAAACAAAAGTCGCACTCATGAAACAGGAGTGGAACACAGGAAGACCAGGAGACAAACTTACGGGGAAACGTAACGAGAGCTGACGGGACACATGAACAGACAGAACCA